GAGCTCGGTCTCAAGCACGAAAAGTGCGAAGCGTACTACCACTACGACGGCGTGCCCAACGGGACGGTCGACGTCGCCAACGGCCACAACGTCTATGGGTTTGGTCTCGACCCGATCTGGAAGACGTCGGAGAACGAGCTTCTCTTCTTCAACTCGTTCAAGATGAAGCTCAGTGTCATTCTCGGTATCACGCAGATGGGCTTTGGTATCCTCATCAAGGGCTGGAACGCGCTCTACTTCGAGGACTACCCGACGTTCTTCTTCGACTTCTTGCCGCAGCTCGTCTTTGCCGCGTCGCTCTTCTTCTACATGGTCGTGCTCATCGTCATGAAGTGGAGCATTGACTGGACCGAGCGCATGAGCCACGAAGTGTGCCCGTTCAACTTTGAAGGCCCGGTCACTGGCTGCCGCCCGCCCGCGCTCATCAACACGCTCATTAACATTGCGCTCCAGCCCGGTGTCGTCGCCGACCCCATGTACGGAGGCCAGAAGAAGTTGCAGCAGACGCTGCTGGCGCTTGCGGGTTTCTCAGTGCCTGCGATGCTGCTCTGCCACCCGCTCTACGTAAAGTTCAAGCACAACAGCTCTGTCGCGGGGGTGTCGCACCGTATTAAAGTCTGTGACGTGGACAACGACATGGACGACACGGCAAATGCATCATTGGAGCGAAGCAGTGACTCGTTTGATCTTGGCGAGGCTATGATTCACCAAAGCATCGAGACAATCGAGTTCGTGCTCAACATGGTGTCCAACACAGCGTCGTACCTGCGTCTCTGGGCACTTTCTCTGGCGCACTCAGGTACACAGCTGCTAGATACGACCGTGGAGAATGCTTGTTCATCTACGGGTGCTTGTAGAGCTGTCAACTGTCTTCTTCGAAAAGGCGTTGCTGTCGACCATACACATGGACTCGTTCATTGCGATCTTCGTCGGCTTTGCGCTCTTTGCCGGCACGACGTTTGGCGTCATTCTCTGCATGGACGTACTCGAGTGCTTCCTCCACGCTCTCCGCTTGCACTGGGTCGAGTTCCAAGGCAAGTTTTACAAGGCCGATGGCATTGCTTTCAATCCGTTGCGCCTCAAGGACTTGCGTTCGCCCAGCTCGAACGATAGCCTCTAGCGATTAGCAAGGCTATCAACGTGTCAATCGAAATCAAACACTGAATCATGCCCAGCTGCCACATGGCTTCAAAAAGGCTTCGTGGGGTTTCTGAGTGCATGTTGCAGAGCAGCTAACACCATTGATCGTCAGTCACACGTACAGAAGCAGAAGCGCTGCCTGCTACAACACTTGTATGGAGCGTGCTTCGTTACAATGATTTGATGCGCTCAGCAGACTGATTCACAGACCATTATCAGCGCGTTACCCAGATCATTTATTGGGCATTCAGCCACGCTACACTGCTCCAGAAGCTGCCTACGGCGCACAGTGACGGCTCGTACTACACGATTGCAACAAACTTTATGCAGGCGCTGGACGTCCGCAAAGGGTTCGCCAAGTACGGCGCTGACGTCTTCTTTGACGACAAGTGCAAGGTCACCAAAATCGTGCGCGGGAGCATCACGTACCGACCGGACGACGCAGAGTGGGAGTATGTGAAGATGTGCTTCCGCGGCAGTCTCCAGACCAAGGTCACGGCCATCGACCACTTGCTGCTCGTACACTCGACGATCGCAAACCACGTCACTGTCGTCCACCTGGAGCAGTTGCCGCCAACACACCCGCTCCGACGTCTTCTCAAGCCGTTCACATTCCGGTCGGCGGCCATCAACTATGGCGCTGGGCGAGCATTCTTCTGGCCCCAAGGCATGCTTCAGCGTGCAATTGCGCTTACCACCAGAGGCATGAAGCAAGCGTGGGACATCGGGCTCGGTAGCTTTGCGTACGAGCCGTTTCCCGCGATGGTGGCACGCCAGCAAATTGACACGATGACGCTGCCGCTGCATGAAGACGGTATCGACTACTGGTACATTGTTTCTCGGTTCGTTTCGAGCTACCTCGCCCTCTACTACTCGGCAGATGTCGAGGTGACTTCGGACGCCTCGGTGGTTGCCTTTTGGACGGTGCTGGACGCGGCGTTGCCGTT